TAATAGGAGGAATAGCAATTTTATTTGAATTATTAGCAACAAAAATATTATTTTTGCATTACATTAAGTAAGGTGGTTTATGTGCAAGAAACATCTTTCTCACCTCACTCTCTTTTGCTAAACAACTCATTTTTCTCTCAAGTGTTTCACTCTTTTCCGTAAATGTATCACTCTTTTTCTTTCTATTCCTTGTAGGTGTTTCACTCTTCTCTCTTTTCTCTTGCATTATTTTTTCTCTCATTTTTATTTGATCCTCACACACATCTGTAGGAGATAATGGTTTGATAATAATCTTCTAGTCATTGTGCATGAAAGAAATCTTGTTGGTGAATCCATCATGTAGTGCTTTGGTGTCATACTGCCATGGCCTCCCTAGGAGGATATGACTTGCCTCCATTGGAACCACATCACATAACACCTTATCACTGTACCTTCCAATTGAGAAGCACACTTCAACTTGTTGTGTCACTTTCATCTCTCCATCTTCAGTAAGCCATTGAAGTTTGTATGACCTAGGATGTGGTTTAGTTTAGATACCAATCTGGAACTAACCACATTAGTACAACTTCCACCATCAACAATTAAAGAGCACAATTTACCTTTGATTGAACACCTAGTGTGGAAAATATTTTCTCTTTGGATTTGCTCAAGTGGTTGCATTTGACTTCCTAGTAACCTCCTTACCATTAGCATATCACCCTGTAACTCTTCCTCTTCTAATTCTTCCTCCTCTTCTTCCTCATTAGCTTCAGATTCACTAGTAATTTGCCCATCCTCCTTCATGATCATGATCCTCTTAGTTAGACATTCAGAAGCAATATGTCCTCTTCCCAAGCATTTGAAACATTTGATGTTTCTGGTTCCAGTGTTGGAAGCGGATGTATTTGGCTTTGTTCGTGATTTCCCTTATGGCGGAGTCGTGGCTGCATTGGATGAATTTCCTCCCTCCTTCTTAGGTTTATCCTTTCAGTTCGGATTATAAGAACTGGAAGAACTTCTCCTTGCTATACTTTTCCTCTTGAGCTGTTGTTCAACTTGAACAGTCTTATGCAACAAATCTTTCATCTCCACATATTATCTCCTTGTAGTACTCTTCAACAGTCATGCTACCTTGCATCAATTTTTGAAGTTTTAAACGCAAAGTTCTACTATAGCTGGTTGACACATATCTCTTCCTCATGACTCTCCTCATTTCAGCCCAAGTATCTATTTCTCGTTCCTCATCTCTTTGTATTTCCTTCTGATATTTGTTCCACCAAATGAGGGCATAGTCTGAGAATTCAGTTGCTGCCAATTTGACCTTTTGTGCTTCTGTATAGTCATTGCATGAAAACACATGCTCAATCTTCATCTCCCATTCCAGATAGGCATCTGGATCACTCCTACCTTTAAATGGAGGAACATTCAACTTCACTCCATCAAGTCTATTCTGTCTAGGACCTCCATTATCACCTCTTCCTCCACTATTTCGATTAGGACCTCCAACATCTTCCTTCAATCCTCTCATAGAGCTCTTGATTATTTTGTGTCAACAATCTTTGCATTTTCGTAGTCATAGCTTCAAGCAACAATCTTTGAGCTCCATCTAAATGATGAGGACCATCACCACCTGCTCCTACCATAATTCAACTAAAGAACCAGAAAAACAGACATAATGTGAAGTAATAGGACTTTACCACACTTCTCACATGTTTTCACTCAAAGATGTATCACTCGTGTTTACTCTCAATTTGTCTTTTGTATAATATGCACTCTTGCATTTTCTCACTCGTTCTCTGACTTATGGTTCTTACAAGAATCAATCAATCTATAGTTCAAGAATCATTTTCAACTGTAGCAATCATAAGAAATAAAAAAGAATTGTAGTACTAACAAAGGACAAGTAGTAAAGAACAATTTTACTACTAACAACAAGCAAGACAAATCTAAATTGTATGGGAAAACAAAGATTAGACAAAGATGTTTGACATTTAAGAATTTTATCAAATAGCTAATGTGCATTGAAATTTAAAGGAAGAACAACTGCCACTTATATATATAATTTTTTTTTCTTTTATGTAGAAAACTAATTTCGAACACAACTTTAATATATATATAAATAAAATTCAATATCAAAATTGCATAAAAAGCATGTTAAAAAAAAATAGTACACGTGAATAGTGTCAATGAACGAGTATCGATGAACAATACCACTTTTGAACCTTACTCGATACCAAAGGATGACACTCGAATAGAAGGGAAACAATTTAGGGTTATGTTTTGGAAGATGGTTTGATTGGAAATAGAAAACAGAAAAATATAGGACAACATAGGCGCCACAAATAAGAATATTTGATAAGCCAAGAAGGATCGCCACAAGAATTGGAGAATTCTTGATAAGATCAAAAGATGCAAGGAAGAACCCTAGCAGAAGCAACAACTCACAAATTGATTCTGAACAATACGTACCTTGATTCTAAATTTCTAAAATATTTAATACAACTTAAGTTTATGATTTTGTCTCATTGCAGGAAATAAAATAAATTAAAATCCTAATATCCCAAAGTTAAGTTGTCTTGATGGTCCAATGAAGACATTATAAGCTTTCGGTCTTGGGTTTAAATCCACACTGTAGCAGATAAAATAATAATAATAACTAAATCTTTTAGTTGGGTCTCCTAGCTCTCAAATTGGTCACTTTGTGTTGCAACGCCTCTTGTATTTCCACCTAAGTCTTGGATTGAATCTTGATCTTTTTCGTGATGGGCTTGAACTTTTATGTCCACATCCGTTTTTCTTTTCTAGTCTTCATAAATTATTAATTATTTTATTAAGTTTTTAATCATTAAATTATTATTTTTATGTGATGTAAATTATTAAATTATATGTATATATAAATGTGTGACTTTTAAGAAAAATTAATTTCATAAAAAATATAATTAGTTATATATATATATATATATATATATATATATATATATATATATATATATATATATGATTAAAGTTGTCAAGCTCAATAAAATTTTCTTAAATGAATTTTAAATAACATGTTTATGAATTATTTGCCCGATCACATTTAGAGTCATTTATAATTATATATATTATTTAATAATTTATATGACATAACATAATAATTTTTCATATATAAAATTTACATAAAATATTTTAATTATATTAAACATAAATATATATATATATCATAATTATTTTATGAAAATTATATTTTTAATCTATGTAATCATTTTTATTTATATTTCAAATTACTCAAGCTAATCTATGTTGAAATTAATTTTATTTTAATTTAAATAATATTTAAAAATAAGAAATAAAAAATAATAATTAATTTATAATTTAAGTTAAATACACTTTGTATAATACTTTATATACATTTTTCAATGAGCATGGTTGGTTCATGAGTTTAATTTATTTATTTTTAATAATAATATTAATATAAATTATTTATTAAATATAATTACCAATTATTTTGTAGATATAAAAAATGATAGAAGAATCTAATTTTCAACTACTTGCTTCTTGGCAACGGTAACACATGGCGAGTTTTTGCGACAGTTGAGGCACAAATAAATTATGTTTGCGTGTCAGGGCGTTATTTCCGTTGCTAATACTTCACAACATCATTAAATAATTTTTAACATTGACTAAGAATGTCGTCAACAATTAAAATTGTTTACACCAAGTGTGTGGTGCAACTTCGTAATTGGGGGCGGCGCAGGTAACAATTTAGTCCAATTTTTTCGAAACCTTGATAACTAACTTCATCTATTATATTTATTTATAGTTAATTTTTATTAATTTTTTCTTAGAACAACTTCAATTATCATTTATATAAAAAAACTATGTTAAGATGTAAATGAAAAAAAAAACAATAGGAGAACAACTTTTAAATTTAAAAATTATCGATATTTTAGATATAGTTATCATTTATTAAATACATTTAATTTTAAATAAAGTTAGACTTTGTATTGTTATTATTTATTATAAATATACACACGCTAAAGTCATTTGTATTATTAATGCAAAGTTCATAAATTTTAAACCTAATTCATCAACAAAATTTAATTTAAGCTTACAATTAAATTTATTTATTTTATACAATCACTTTTATTATACTAGTATTCGTTTAGTTTAAATTTTAATAGAATTAATTTTGATAATATTATTTTTTAATTATTGAATATATATATATATATATATATATATATATATATATATATATATATATTATTAAACATTTTGCTAGGTTAAGTAATTGATTGAAAACGAGACATTGATAATTGATAAATGGATTTTACCCTCTCTTTGACCTTTAAATTTTTCATACCAAATTAAAAATTGGGATTTTTATTTTTTAAAATAATTAAATATTTTTATCTTTTATATAATAATGTATATTTATTTTCTCGTTCTATGACAAATAATTAAAGATATAATAAAAAATTCATTAATATAAATGACAATTAAGAATGAAATTCATTAACAAGTTATTTGTTCAACAAAGAAGGAACTAAATATATTTTAATTTTCAAGATAGTTTATTTTATTTTCTTTTCCTTTCTTTTCTTTTAATAGTTATGAAAGGAAGAAAAAAAAGGTCCTTTTACTGGTAGGAAAAGTTATCAGTGGGACCAAAGTGAGTGTAAGAACGAGTAAAAGCAAGAGATCCATCTTCATACCCTGTAATGCAATGCATCTTCTTCTTCGTCGAACATTCCGAATCATAAACCTTTCCCTCTCTTATCTCACACAATTCTTCTCTTTCATCTAACTTCGTTAATTCTCAGGGGCACCCTATATTTGTATTGTCATCAATCTCCAAAATTTCCATTAATATTTTACGCAATCAATTTCAATTCAACATTTTTTTTTCCATGTTTTCTTGTGTCCTGCGTGTGCAATCAATTCCCTTTGTGTCGATTCCATCTGGGGTGTAACCCTTTTGCATGAAAGATCAAATCTTGAAGTTAAACTGATAATTCAATTGTGAGTTATTTTCATCAATGGACAATTACGGGTCTTCACAACATCCATTTGGGTATAATCCTCCATACCCTCCTCCTGATCCATACGCTCGACCACCATATCCATATCCACCAAATCCTCCACATGCCTTCAACTACACATACCCCCCACCTCGTCCACCACACTTCCCTTATTCTACCATAGACCATTCCTTGTACCCTCCTCCTCCTCCTCCAACACCTGGTTCCTTTGAATTTCGTTATTCTCAACCATCCGATACCTATTACCCTCACCAAATTCCTCTAGAATGGAGTGTCGCAGGAGGTGGAGTACCTCAAACTAGTGATAGTTTTGACGCTCCTGTCTGTTCTATTTACCCTCCTTTGGATCATCGCATGAACAATATCAGGCTGTCTGACTCCCCAAGTGCACCTCCAGCATTGACACGTTCCCCTTCAGTCTCAAATTATGAGAATAGAGATGAGTTTTCTGACTCTCCTGGTGATAGTTTTACACCTTCTGTTTGTTCTATTTACCCTCCTTTGGATGATAAAATGAGCTATGCCAGGATGTATGAACCCCCAAGTGCACCTCCATTATTGACACGTTCTCCTTCAGTTTCAAATTATGATAATAGAGATGAGTTTTATGGTCCATCTAGCTACTTCTCCTCAGATTTGGATCAAGGGGACACGCTTGGACTGTCACCTAATTCTGATGACTCAGTGAATAATCAGAGCATGCAGATTGTCCCAGTTCATAACAAAGCGTCTCTGCGAGTTCTGCTCTTGCATGGGAGTTTAGATATTTGGGTCCATACAGCCAAACACCTTCCTAACATGGACATGTTCCATAAGACTTTAGGTGATGTGTTTGGGAGATTGCCTGTCAGTAACAAGGTGGATGGAACAGTGAGCAAGAAGATTACTAGTGATCCTTACGTGTCAATTTCTGTGTCAAATGCTGTAATTGGGAGGACTTTTGTGATTAGCAATAGTGAAAACCCTGTGTGGGAGCAACATTTCTATGTCCCTGTTGCACATCGTGTTGCTGAAGTTAATTTTGTTGTTAAGGACAGTGATGTGGTAGGTTCACAGCGCATTGGTGTTGTGGCAATTCCAGCTGAACAAATATACTCAGGGGAAAGGATACAAGGGACCTACCCTATCCTGAATAGCAATGGAAAGCCTTGTAAGCCTGGTGCTGTCTTGAGTTTATCCATTCAGTACATTCCAATGGAGAAACTTATCACTTATCATCAAGGAGTTGGAGCTGGTCCTGAATATGTCGGGGTTCCTGGCACATATTTTCCTTTGAGGAAAGGTGGAACGGTTACTCTGTATCAAGATGCTCATGTTCCAGATGGTTCTCTACCTACTGTTATGCTTGACCATGGCATGCATTATGCTCATGGAAAGTGTTGGCAAGACATTTGTGATGCCATACGTGGAGCTCAGAGGTTGGTTTACATTACGGGGTGGTCAGTGTGGCACAAAGTTAAGTTGGTAAGGGATGCTGGCAAAGCAACAAATTCCTGCCTGGGTGAACTTCTGAGGGCTAAGTCCTCGGAGGGAGTAAGAGTGCTTCTCCTTGTTTGGGATGACCCTACATCAAGAAGCATTCTTGGTTACAAAATGGTTTGTGATGTTTTTATATTTTTACGTTTAGCCTTTTACAATATTTCTGTTTTGGGGAGGACTAGTTGTGTGTTTGGTTTATTGTTTACACTCATTCCAAGTTAGTTGAACAGGAAAGTATGTGTCAAAATGGATTAATTTGAACGCCTACAAATGGATTTCCAAACATAGCCCTTGGTTTGCAAATGTCTGTATGTGGGCATTTTTGCTGCATGTTGTTATCACTTTAAGAAGTCATTCTATTTCTATTTCTATCTTTTTTGTAATTTTTTAATTCCTAGTTAATTATGAGAATATGTTATTTATCATTTCCTTTTTTGCTTTCTTCCTTCTTTCAATAAATGAATCACTTCTCATCTGAAATAATACAGAGATGAAATGACTTTCTTCGTACTCTTCTCATAGTTCAGTACCACTTAATAAAAGCTCCTGTTTTTGTCTATCCAATAAGCTAACAATGGCCCCAAAATAGATCAGAGTTATCATCAAATGAAACACTGTTTGCAGTTGGATTCAAGACTTCATATATATTGCTTGTGATTTTTCATTTCCATGTAGAATTCTCTACCTATAATCTGTCGTGAAGTAATACGAATACTAGTTAAATTGCTATTGGCCTTGTCCAAATGTTTATATCGATATAGTATATGATCTTGCAAAGTCATTATTTTTTCCAGTATTATGAACATTTCTACCTTGATCTATGAAGTATACTTTTACTTTAATATGAAGACTCTTGAATGAGTTTTGCTTTTTGAAATTTTTGTTTCATAGATATGATTTAATTTTAATTGTGCAAAGTTATTTTGTTTTACATTCAGGATGGTGTAATGGCTACTCATGATGAGGAAACAAGACGATTTTTCAAGCACTCTTCCGTGCAAGTGCTGCTTTGCCCTCGCATTGCTGCAAAACGACATAGCTGGGCCAAACAAAAGGTTTGGTTTGACGATGATTCTACCCATTAAACTATTTTTATTTACTGGAACAGTTGGTTCACTATCCTTTAAAAGGTTTTAAAGAATCTCCTCCTATTCCCAGCTCGGTATACTTTATGATGCACATATTATTACTGATAGTCTGATAGGCTGATCCCATTTGATAGTTTCCTAACTTCTAGTCATGAATGCCTGACTTTATGATGAGGTTTAGTTTTAGTAACTGTTTTTATACATATTTGCGTTGGATCTATGTAACACACACGTGTATGTGTGTGTGTATATATATATATTTATCGATTTCAGTTCTATAGTTCCATAGTAACTTTTTTTGTAATTATCAGGAAGTTGGAACAATATATACACATCATCAGAAAACTGTAATTGTGGACGCTGATGCTGGAAATGGAAAAAGAAAAATTGTAGCATTTGTTGGTGGACTTGATTTGTGTGATGGGCGATATGATAATCCCCACCATCCTCTCTTTAGGACACTGCAGACACTGCATAAGGATGACTATCACAACCCTACTTTCACGGTAGTATATTTTTTGCTTGGTTGTATTATCACCAGATTTTTCCATCAATCATTTGATGAGCAATTAATGAACAAAAGTAAGTGCGTGAAATAAGCCACAAAGGTATATAACTCCAATTTTTAGTAGTTCTTGAAGAAACCAAGTTACAACAAAGAAATATTTCCATATTCTTGTGTTGAAGATTAAAGGATTAGTTTGAAGAATATGTTGTGATCAGTTCAACACACTTTGAACTGTAAAAATAGCATTGCTACTGATATGTAGAACCTAATATGTAATGTGTTGTAGCTATCTAGATGGTCTTTGAACGTGTAAATCTATTCCATATTTCTGGCTCATCTAAAACTTTCCTGCAAATTCATCACAAAGATGTTCTCCTATTTTATCCTTGGAATTAAAAAAATATTATGGAAGTATGTGGCTAGGAACTTAAAAGTTTCCATTTTAAAACAAAGTTTGAAGCGAGAAGACCAAATTATTATGATGATGTGAATTATACAATGATAGGGTAGTACCGGTGGTTGTCCTCGGGAGCCATGGCATGACTTGCATTCCAAAATTGATGGTCCAGCAGCTTATGATGTTTTGACCAACTTTGAGGAGCGCTGGTTAAGAGCTGCAAAACCTAAAGGGTTTAAAAAGTTTACTAGCTCATATGAGGATGCATTGCTTAAGCTAGACAGAATAAAAGATATTATCAGTTCATCTGATGCTCTTGATGTTGATGACTATAATCCTGCATCATGGCATGTTCAGGTACTCATTTGATTAGTGCTGAATAAGCATCAAGAATTTCTAGAAACAGTTTTTTTTTTTTTTTCATTCACACTAGTTAAAGGAAACCGTTGAATATACATGCTTTTGAAATACAGATATTTCGTTCAATTGATTCAAGTTCTGTCAAGGGATTTCCAAAGGAGCCAAAAGATGCATCAAGTATGGTAAGTGAAAGGTTTCAATGTTTCAAAGTTTTATTTTTCATGCTGGATTTCAATTCATCAGACTTCAGCCACCTTATTTGTGACGATGGAATAGTTAAACGTTACTGTGTTTATGCAGAATCTAGTATGTGGGAAGAATGTGCTAATTGACATGAGTATACATACAGCATATATACAAGCCATTCGTGCTGCACAACATTATATTTATATAGAGAATCAATATTTCATTGGGTCTTCTTATAATTGGAGTCAACACAGAGACCTTGGTATGGAACTCTTCTTTTTAAACATGTTTGCTTTTTGTGTCAAGAATTCCTTATGTTACTCTGCTAAAGATTTTGGAGAACACAAATTGTTATGGTATATCTGCTTTTATAAGGATAAATCATCATAAGCGAAAATTCATCATTCAGAATTTATATTTTACTAATTAAACTGTATGATCTACAAATTATATAAAAGAAAAAAAGACCACTTACTTTCAATTTTATGATATGTAATTTTGGTGCATTTTATTTCAAAGGCTCTGGAAATTACGTGAGTATGTAATAGCAGACAGTCTGGTGCATATTTTTCTATATCATTAAATTGTTTGTAGCCAAAGCTTACTGAAATATAAATCCATGTGGTTCCTTTAAAGGTTAATAATGGAATATTTAAGTTGTTCTAACTGTATTTTCAAGGTGTTGTCAAAGTTTAGTTCCTTTTTATACATTCATGACGAGCCTTCATTTATCAACTACATCTTTTATTTGTTTTGATTGTTTGGCTACATTGTTGGCAAGAAAGTTTGATCCTACAACCAGAGGTGCAATTAAGGGGGGCACCCAATTTTTTTCGTATGTGTTAATTTTTTTTTAAATTAAATAAAAATTATTTTATAAATATAATTAAGATTAATTTTTTATCTTTTTTTTTTTTTTAATTTTTCATTTACAACAAATATCATATTTATTTTCTTACTTTATATTTTTATCTCTTCTTCTCCCATCTTTTCACTTTCCCATTTTAGCTTTTTCTACTAGAGACTCACTTTGTCTTTTTACATTTCTATTTCTTTCTTTACCGATCATTCATTTTCATATTCTTCTTTTATGGTTTCACCTTACAACATAAAATTTTTGTAAGTTTTTCCTTTTAGTTTCATATTTTTCCTTTTTACATTTTCATCTTTATAGTATAAAAGTTATAATTTTTTTTCTTTAGTTTTTTTTTTTTTCTTTTCAAACAAAGGAGATACTTCATAATAATTTTCTTGAAATAAAAAAACAGTAAACAAATTTATTTTCTTTATTGTTTTTGTTCATTATTATAACAAATTAGTATGTGTAGAGTAGTATAAAAATATGAAATATTATTATTATTTTTTATTAATTAATTAGTTATTTTAATAATTTATAATACTCTATTTTGATGTTAAAATATGAATAAAAAAATAAAAGTTGAATTTTAAAGATGTCTAAAAAAATTATAAACTCATTTTTTAAAAGAACATATATGATAAATGAAGAAATAAACTCTAGTGTCTAAAATTTAAATTCAATTAGCAATGTTAAATATACTGTTAAATATTTCATATAATATATGTATTTTTACATTATAATTAATTTTTATATGTTGGTCCCTCATCTAAAACTTTTGGCTCTGCCTCTGCCTACAAACTCTGGCAAACTACTTGAACTCCTCACCACTAGACACTCCTAGTGGATTTTCTCTATCATATACTGGGTGAAGACGAATAACGAGGTTGATTAGACTGTTTCAAATATCTCATTTCAATGCTAAAACATCCATGTGTTTTGCAGGTGCTAATAATTTAATTCCGATGGAAATTGCACTGAAGATTGCTGCAAAGATAAGGGCAAATGAGAGATTTGCAGTTTACATTGTTATTCCAATGTGGCCTGAGGGTGTTCCAACAGGTGCTGCCACCCAAAGAATTCTTTTTTGGCAGGTATGATTCAACTCACAAGATAAAGGTCATTTTTTTTTGTCTAACAAGGGTTTGATTGAACTTTCATAATTATCTGCCTGGAATCCTGCTTTATAAATTGTGATTTTGAACACCAAGTTGACCTGTTAACTTCTCTAATCATCAGAAAAAAAAAAAAAAAAAAAAAAGGACTAAAGCTGGAACAACTTGTGCGGCTTCTGGCTCCAGAATATATTTGTCACTAGTCTGATATTTTAATAAAAAATGCAAATAGGCTTTAAAAGCAATCAAATATTAATAATTTATATAGTTTGATAGAAATGGCAAGGCCTATGAGCAATTTTCTTTTCAATTGCATTCTATTTTGGCTTCCCTTTTATGAAATGTTTGAAATCAAGTCTTTTAGGTTTTTTATTGTTCACTCTGCCATCTAGTTGCATATCAACCCTATTTTAATCATAGACCTTATCACATTTTATTCTCCTATTCTTTCTGCTTTAGAGCAGGTGGCTTGTTTCTCCAACAATTAAGCCTTATCTTGTTACATTGGAGCAGCTGCATGGATCAACCAGTGCCATTTGGCATCACAAATAACCGAACTTTCAATAAATTCACTTAGCATAATCTTTTTAATGGTTTCTCCTGAAGGTTTTTCAATCTTGGTCTGACCTTTCAATTGAACTTTTTCATGTGATACGTTTTTCTCACCTGACCCTCTGTCAAACAGTCCATGTCTCAACTCCTTAGATTACAAAGCTTTATATTATTTATTTCCAATTGACTGCTTTCTTCCCAAAAAGATTGTATTGTTGAGTGCAAATTACATTTCAGAAGCCAAAATAGGAAGAAATAGTAGCTCAGCCTAAAAATGTTTTGATTCCTTGACCTTTAACAATCACTTTTTCACAAAAAATACAAAAAGTCTAGCACCATGCAACCCGAGAGAATAACTCAGGAGATCTCATTGTCCAAGTAATTTTCTTATGTTCCTCCACTCATTTGTTTGATCTCACGGTGCTATTTCTATACATGCATCTTTGATAACATTATGACAACTAAGACTGTATATAATATTTCTCTAGTCTTTCAAACTTTTATGCTGGAATGTTATCATTGAACACTGAACTTCCAAAGCTTTGATCTGTTCTTGAAGGATAAGGCTCGTTTGAAGTGAGCTTATCGCTAAAGTGAACCAGGTGTATTGACCCTTGATTCAATTTATATGCCATAAGCCACTAAAATGATGGTTGATACATGCTTACTTCACTTTAAAAGACAAGATCACTATAGAATATTTTTTCTGTTGTTGAAATATGACAAATCAATACTTAATTTTGACGAAAAAAAAAGACCATTGTGATCATCAATTACTTAATTGGGAGGTTCTATGGGGTGGACAGAGAACTCAAATAATTCCAGAAGTCAGTGCCAATGGTCAAAATTTTCTGCCAAGACGAGTATTTGGCTCCTCATTCAGAAATCCTGGTTGTGTGATTTCAAAATGAAAGTTATAGGGCCTTAGAGGACTTGGTTCTTACATTTCTTACCCTCTTTTCTTTTTCCTTAAAATTTCAGCATAAAACAATGCAAATGATGTATGAGACAATTTACAAGGCTTTGGTTGAAGTTGGGCTTGAAGCAGCATACTCTCCGCAAGACTACTTGAACTTCTTCTGTCTTGGCAATCGGGAGGCAGTAGATATGTATGAGAATATCACTGGATCTGGATCTGGATCTCTTCCGCCAGCTAATAGTCCCCAAGTATGAATGCTATGCTCCCATTCCCTTTTCCCTTCTCAATTACATTTTTCTGCTTCCCTAGTACCATGAAACTGAGTTTATATAAAGCTTTAGACATCTAATACCAATGAATAAAAAAAAGAAAGTTTTAACATGTAAACTTCGCCCCGCAACACAAAAGCCTCTAAAATGCATGTTTTATGACACGCAATCACTTCTTATTGAATGTAATTGTAAACTTGTGAGTTGGTTCTCCTTGTCCAGGCAATGAGTAGAAACAGTCGACGTTTTATGATTTATGTCCATTCAAAAGGCATGATAGTTGATGATGAATATGTCATATTGGGGTCTGCAAACATCAACCAGCGTTCTATGGAAGGAACGAGGGACACCGAGATTGCAATGGGTGCCTATCAACCTTATCATACCTGGGCAAGAAGAAAGTTTTATCCACCAGGGCAGGTAAGCTTTTTTAAAAAGTTAGTACATTGTGGTTTCTTCTTAAAGTTTTTATGACAACCTTTAATTGAAAAATCAATAGTTGAAGTTGCGATACATTATATGTACATGCATAACAAATTGTCATTGCACACATTAGCCTCTAAAATGCACATTTCACTTTCGGGGAGTTAAATTCAAGCAACCATCCAACCTAGCCCTTATGACCATCAGGCAACAAAACCAACATCTTTGGCTTTCCAAATTCCCTGGAATACTAATATGCATTTATAAAGATAACTTTAAAGGAACTAAAAGTTCTTCTTATCTACTAACATATGTTATGTTATGTATGAAGTGAAAGAATATGGGTTGTGAATAGCAGAACAGTGTTTTCACGCTGTTATTTTTACATGAATGTAATATTAATACATTTCCGGACATGACTTCTTTGTGAAACTATACCATGCAGATCCATGGATATAGAATGTCACTTTGGGCGGAACATATTGGTGGTATTGAAGACTGCTTTTCACATCCAGAAAGCCTTGAATGTGTTAGGAGGATTAGAACAATAGGTGAAATGAACTGGAAACAATATGCATCAAATGATGCAACAGAAGAGATGAAAGGGCATCTGCTCAAGTACCCGGTAGAAGTCGATCGGAAGGGTATTGTAAGATCCCTTCCTGGCCAGGATGAGTTCCCGGATGTGGGAGGAAAGATTATAGGATCATTTATTGCCATTCAGGAAAATCTAACCATTTGATTATTTTTTTACATTCACATTGTTGGCCATTTAGGATTAGGATGAATGTAAATTACAGACAATTTTTAAATGCAATGTAGTTGAAGAAGCACTTTCTCCAGTGTATATAGTAATAAAATCTTTATACTCATTTTCCTTTTTGTATACTTACAAACCACATATACTTATACACATGATTTGCTAAATTGTTACTTAGAATTAGAAGACTACCAAGTTTGGTATGAAACATGATCTGGATTGTGTTTTATTTTCTGACTTAAATAGTTATTTATGGGTATGTTATTCTACTTACCTATTACAAAAATGTTACATCAATGTTTCTGTTTGGAAGGAGAAGCAAAGACTTGATCAGATATTCTCAATGTTTCCATCCTTTGTTACCAAGACTAACATGGACACAGATGATTAAAAAAATTAGTATAAAGATAATAATAACAATAAAAGAAAACAAACTTTGTACTTTTGATTGGTGATCCTTATAAACATTGTACTTTTACTAACTGGTATTTTTGCAAAACATAGCAACCAAGCTAAGAGGAGCAATGAATCAATGATTATTTCGGTATACTTATTTGCAAGCCATCAATAACAAGTGAATCCCTTCATAATTTTTTTCTGAGTGGTTTAGATTTTGCCTTTGAAATTATGATTTTCTTTTTTATATCTATACTCACTACCAGAAATTTATTTATTTCTTACTATTTTTATTTCAAAAACTTATTCACAAAAAATATTAACAATTTTTTCAACAAAAAATTATTCACAGAAAATAAGTGTCAACTTTCCTGCAAAAAAATATATTTATAAGAAATAGTTCGAACTTTTTTTGCAAAAAATGATTTATAATAAGTTTCTACAAATTTTATTGTAAATATATAAAAAAAATTGCAAATAAGAATTTGTAAGAAAATTTGTAAAAATTTAAATTTATTTATTGTAATTTTTTATGAATACAAATTTACAGGAAATATTTGATAATATTTAAATAAGTGATAGAAAAATTTGAAAAAAAATATGAATTTTTTACAAATTATATTTTATAGAAAAATAAAATAGAATATTTAAATTTATTATTTTTCAATAATTAAAAAATTATTTAATAGAATATTTTTAACAAAATAAAAAATATACAATAAAATAATTCAATAAAAACTTTGTAGAATAATTTCTTGTCAATTTTGCTTATCATTTTGTCTTGGATCTAGTAAAGGATGAGTTATTATTTTTCTTTCTCGTGAACCACTAACACCTTGAACGAGTTATCCAGTAGAAATTATCCTTTTGTTTAAAACATTTTGAATCCTTAGGGTTTAACTTCTTTTTCTTCTCATTCTCTTCTCCATGAAGAGAAACTCTTGATACTACTCCCCTATAGCAAATTCAATGAAAGTCCACACTGTTTTGTCATATCTAACAAGTTCATGTTCCCCGTCTCAACGCCTCTAACATCAGACTTATTCATGCTTGTTAAGCAATTTTGGAAGGAGAGTGAGTGAGAAGCTCTTGAAGCCGCAATTGAAGTGAAATTTGAACCCAACTATCATAATGTTGGTGTTAATATAGCATATTTTCCACTCATTATGGTGAGACTTTGGTCATTTCTCAAAACTTTAATTAATTATGCTTAATTTTGGAGTTTTAATTGTGGTATACAAAATGAAATATACTTTATGTTTGATTTTATGCCAATATTATGATGAGTAGTACAAAATATACTATGTGTGAGATTTTATGTCAATGTTATTTTATGCTTGAGTTGTTTTTGTACTGATTTTCTACAATTCATTTATTCGCTTAAAAGTGTGATTCATCAAATCAAAGTATTTTATAAACACGTCGTACTCTAGTTTTTACAAGCAGTGACAGATCTTCTTGGTAGTTGAGGGGGCCGTGGCCCCCCTCAAAGTTTTGTAACTCCCATGTAATTTATGATTTTGTCTCCTCAAATTTATAATCATTGATATATTTACTTATATATTTACAATTGTATCCTCTCATCACTCCTAATTCTTATATAATTTTTTATTTTGTCCCCTCAAACTTAAATATCATTTAATATATTTATTTATACATTTAAAATTTTATCTTTTCACCCTTTTATCTTCCTTCACCCTTTTATATTTATTTTTTATTTATTAATAATATATTATTTGGTCCTTCCAAAATCAATGTTCAAGATCCGCCACTGTTCACAAGTGTCCAGGGGAAATCCAATGTGCTTTTATTGGCTTTGAGAAAACTAAAATCTTAGTTGTTAATGCAATCAAATTGTGTGTCTTTCACATGTAATTAGAGTCACCCGTTTCAAATAATAGTTTGAACTTTCAAAATTTTCTTCCCATATAAGACTAATCTCACTGTACTAAAGTGCTTGAGAATAGAAATTTTTACCCTCATAATTTGCACGCACCTCTATGCATAGAAAGGAGTCAAAATTTTGATATATTGTTATAATGCAAAACATATGTAAATGAACACACCTATAAAGACCACATGAATTTAAATTTCATACCAGTCAATTTTTGAATAACACTTTTTAATTTGTCATACCACCGAATGTCAAGTACAATCGCATCTTAAATACCTCACTAGCAACGTCTTAAGGTAGGTATTTAAATCTCATGTTGTCAAAGACAAACCTTAAATCAAGTGGATTAGATGATTACATGAACTCAAAACTATCATATTAATTAGTTAATGTTTTAAATAGATTTTAAATAAATGATAATTTATGGGTTCATGTAGAACCTAAAAAAGTTATTGTAAGTTTTGTTACTCTATCAACAGATTTTATATCTTAAATAAAATAGAGAAACTTACAAAAAGTAAAATAAGACTTTAAAATTAATCCAGTAATTAAATGGGGAAATTAATCTGGTCTTACCGCTTTTTATTGTCTTTTATCTAGTTGATTTGTCAAAAAAGTTATTTATATTTTATTAAGTATAACTTTCTGTGTCTCTATTAATTTGTATATAACTTTTCAGTTATTTTGTTTATACTAAGTACTTTTTCATTTGCAAGAAAAATTTGAACAAAAGAAAAATGAGTTATTATCTCATAATTTTGGGAGGATGCAATTGATTTAGTTGGGAAAAATAAGAAAATAATAAGAGAATAATATTTGATCTTGGATCACTAGGTAAAATTTTAATTATATCTTCAACTAAGCAGTCAAATCTTAAAAATGTTGATGTTTTAAGAGTCAAATAATCATTATACAGGCAAGAAAAAGAAAAACAAGAAATGAGACAAGAGTTATAAAGATAAAGAAAGGATAAACTAAAAATAAAAAAAATGTTTACTAAAACTAAGAATTTGGTAGCAGCTTTAATGTAACACTTAGGTTTGTTGCATCTTCTTCCTACAAATCTAAAATTATTATGAGATTATTTGTAAATTTAAATTACTTGCAAATTTGAAATTAGTAAAAATTTTACGTACCAATTTAAATTGGTAAGAAATTAAATATGGATTTAAATTTAAAAAAATATTTGTGAATTTTTTTCACATAAAATTTTATATAAAATTTTTACAATATTAACTTACTAAATAATTTATTATCCACCAGTTAATTATGTGTTAATAAAAATTGGTATAAATTCGTAGAAAACTTATTTTCTTTGAATTTTTAAAAAAATTTGGTAAGAAAATCTCATAAAAAATAAAAACACTTATTTATTTACATGGAGAAAATTTGTGAATTTCTTACTTGACAAATAGTCAATCTTTCTAAAAAATTCAAGATTCCTTATAAATGCATACGAGTCATAAATGCATACAACTCACAAGCAATAAACACTAATTAAACAATTGTGATTGAGTTTTGATTCATAAATTGAAAGCCAACTATAAATAATGTATTGGGTTGTAAAGTTGAAATATCATTAATTACTATAAAAAACAATAGTCCTTCTTCCTGGAAATTATATATTATGGGGACATAATATATTGTATACAATTCTCTTGTTGTAGATGAAACCTTTTTATTATCTTATGATCAAATTAACAATAACAGGTAATGTGACGTGGTAATTGCCTACATATCCTTATAATGTGACATTCAAGGACATTATCACACACATTAAGCAATCACATCTTCATGAGAAAGTTACATTTCCTTGAGTTTCATTGGTTTTTGTAGGTTCAAACTTTGTTATCAAAGTAGGAGTTGATATTGGGTTTGCAACCAAAAAAAGGGCAAGAGACAATAACATTACATAAATAGAGAAGAATAGTTGCCTATATTTTATTTTTATATATATGCATAAATGAATTATTCAATTTAAACTGTGATTTGAGAGTGTTATATGTGATGTGTGTTTGAGTTTCATTTTGTTTTATATCTGGACTTATTTTTATTTAATATTTTAGTCAATAGTAACTTTAAAAGGATGCTAATAGTAAGTATTTATTTAAATGCAATTGGGTTGAGAGTGTTGCATGAATTGAATTGAAAGGTGGGAAATCAAACACAATAAAAACCAAAACATCATATATAAACTGTTTTTCAAGAGGTGAAAAAGGGTAAATGAAACTATGAACAAGTTGCAACTTTTACAAAGCACATGAGGTAAGAAAGAATCCCTTCTAAATCGTTTTAGTTTTTTTTGGTAGGTAAACATTAGTGACAACAGTTTTTATTGAAAAGTTTGAAACCTGTTTTTAGTACAAGGTCAAAAGTTTCCTTTTATAACTGCGTTTAAGGTAAATGCTTGTCACTATTTTTACCACTCCACAATTTTTTTCTTCATGTTGTAGACTTCAGTATTGGACACGCACTACTAGAAAAATGTCAAATAGTAACCGAAATCAGTGACCGAAAAATTTAGTTACTAACAGTGACCGAATTAGTAACCAAATTATAATTTTTTAGTTTAGTAACTGAAATAGTAACCGAATTTTCGGTCACATAAAATCGGTTACTATTTCAGTCACTTTATTATTTAATTTATTTACATTTAATTTATGTAATTATTTTTGTTTTTCAATTATCCCAA